ATTAAACTTGGCTAGGGATGTTAAGGATAACAGGAAGGGATTCTGTAGGTATGTAGCGAATAAAAAACAGACTAGGGACAATGTAGGCCCCCTCCAGAAGCTATCGGGAGAACTGGCTACCCTAGATTTGGAGAAGACTGAGGTTCGGAATGACTGCTTTGCCTCGGTCTTCACTGGCAAAGGCTCTGACCACACCACCCAAGTCTTGGAAGGCAGACGTAGGGACTGTGAGAATGAAGACCTTGGGCCCACTTAGGAGAGGATCTGATTTGAGACCATCTTAAAAACCTGAACGTGCACAAGTCCATGGGACCTGATGAAATCCATCCACGGGTCCCGAAGGAGCTGGTGAATGAAGTAGCTAAGCTGCTGGCCATCATATTTGAAAAATCATGGCAGTCAGGTGAAGTTCCGGATGACTGGAAAAAGGGAAATATAATCCCCATTTTCAAGAAGGAGAAAATGAATGACCCAGGGAACTATAGACCAGTCCGTCTCACCCCTGGGCCTGGCAAAACCTTGGAGCAGATTCTCCTGGAAGGCATGCTAAGGCACATGAAAAACACCAAGGTGTTTGGCAACAGCCAGCATGGCTTCACTAAGGGGAAATCCTGCCTGACCAATTTGGTGGCCTTCTATGATGGGGCTACAGAACTGATGGACAGCGGTAGAGCAGTTGATGTCATCTACCTGGACTTGTGCAAAGCGTTCAACACTGTCCCACACGACATCCTTGTCTCTAAATTGGAGAGACATCAATTTGATAGGTGGACTATTCGGTGGATAAAAAACTGGCTGGACGGCCACACACAAAGAGTTGTGGTCAGTGGCTCAATGTCCAGCTGGAGACCAGTAACGAGTGGTGTCCCTCAGGGATCGGTGCTGGGACTGGTCTTGTTCAACATCTTTGTGGCTGACATGGACAGTGGGATTGAGTGCGCCCTCAGCAAGTTTGCCGATGACACCAAGCTGTGTGGTTCGGTTGATACGCTGGAGGGAAGGAATGCCATCCAGAGGGACCTTGACACGCTTGTGAGGTGGGCTGATGCCAACCCCATGAAGTTTAACCATGCCAAGTGCAAGGTCCTGCACCTGGGTTGGAGCAATCCCAGGCACAGCTACAGGCTGGGCAGAGAAGAGATTCAGAGCAGCCCTGCAGAGAAGGATTTGGGGGTGTTGGTCGGAGAAAATGAACATGAGCTGGCTTCAGTGTGCGCTCACAGCCCAGAAAGCCAACCGTATCCTGGGCTGCATGAAAAAGAGTGTGACCAGCAGATCGAAGGAGGTGATCCTGCCCCTCTACTCTGCTCTTGTGAGACCTCACTTGGAGTATTGTGTGCAGTTCTGGTGTCCTCAACATAAAAAGGACATGGAACTGCTGGAACAAGTCCAGAGGAGGGCCACGAGGATGATCAGGGGACTGGAGCACCTCCCGTATGAAGACAGGCTGAGAAAGTTGGGGCTGTTCAGCCTGGAGAAGAGAAGGCTGCATGGAGACCTCATAGAGCAGCCTTCCAGTATCTGTAGGGGGCCTACAGGGATGCTGGGAGTGGACTCTTCATTAGGGACTGTAGTGACAGGTAACGGGTTAAAACTTAAACAGGGGAAGTTTAGATTGGATATAAGGATATAAGGAAGAAGTTCTTTACTGTGGGGGTGGTGTGACACTGGAATGGGTTGCCCAGGGAAGTTGTGAGTGCTCCATCCCTGGCAGTGTTCAAGGCCAGGTTGGACAAAGCCTTGGGTGACATGGTTTAGTGTGAGATGTCCCTGCCCATGGCAGGGGGGTTGGAACTTGATGATCTTAAGGTCCTTTCCAACCCTAACTATTCTATGATTCTAAAATGGACAATATACTACAAGATGAATGATATTTCAAGGAGAACTAGTTAAGCTTGTATAAACAGTGCTTTTTTGGCAATGTCTTATTTTGAGAGCGTAACTTACGGTAATGTTTTTTTTTAGAAAATACATATATCTGCATTCAGTTGCCAAAAATATATTTAAGAGAAAACAGATGGTTTGCCTGCCTGTGTGTGTGTTTATGAAGTACACAGGAAATACTTCCAATCAAATAAATAAGCTTCACAGTCAATGGAGAAAGTGATGCAGTTTCTGAATTGATTAACCTTAGCAGTCAGAATTTTTGAATTATCACGGGAAACATCAAAAATGCTGACAATTGATGTCAGCATTAACCTTAAAATGAAGAAATTGTAATGCTGTGGAGAAAACTTAATCCACTGCTGCTCTTCCTCCTCAGGATACCACAGTGTTTGCTATAGCTGTTGTCACCTGAATAGCACCTAATGCTTTCAAGTAAGATGGGGTTTCTTCTTTCCCTTCCTATGTTCCTACTGTTATCTGCTGGTTTTATTTTCTCACTTCTACCTTTAATCTCTATTTCCTTCACAACTGTAAAAGTTAATTCACACGTCTAGAGTTTGTTATGTAAAACTCATTATTCCCTGAGCTGTCCATCTGGCTGTGCACATTAGAGACTGTTTCTACAGAGATCCAGGTTGAATTCCTAGAAGCACAACATGTTCCTCAGAAACCACAAAGCTGGCTCATTCAAAGTACTTCAGGTAATAACTCAGTACAGTTTATTCTGCCACTTCAACCCTGATACATAAAAGCTTGATGCAAAAGCCTAAGTGTCTAAAAACACCATTATGCTTTCTTCAGCAGGCTCTGAATTAAGACAGAGGGCCTGATGTATTCTTGATACCATCTGCCAGCTTTGCTAAATGGAAAAAGAAGGTCTTCGTTTAAAAAAACCCAACAAAACACAACCTGAATTCTTATCTCTGCCAAGTGAAATTAATGTTATAACCCATTTCTGACTCTTGCTTCCTTCTGCTTGCTCAATGAAACCAAATTGTGAATTTCACTTTCTATTTATACTTGGTTTCCTTTTCTGATCACCATGTTCAGTTAGTTTGGATTTCTAGAGCCAGGCTGAAAGTGTGTGCAGGCACAGGGGCTGATCCTGATTGAGCAACCTCCAGGACAGGGATGTGAAACTAAAACTCCTAGAAAAAATGATTAAAGTTTTCCTTTCTTTAATCAGGAATCTGTTCTTGCCTTCATTCTCCCTCGAACTTTTAGCCGGAGTGAGTCTAGACCATAGTCAGGTAAATCATCAGAAGTTGTAGCAGCCCTGCTGATCACACTGCAGTCAGCATCAGCATTTTTTTTCCTACTAACAACAATTTTTGTGTTGATTGTGTGCCCACCATCCCTTTTCAGACAGCTCATGTGGCAGGAATGACAAAATCACACCAAGAAACAAGCATGGGGCTGATGAGGGATTGCCCCCTGTCCTGGCATGGACGAGTCTAACTTACCTTTCAGCTCTCTCAAGCAGAACAAAGCTTCTTTCATGGAAAAAAACATACAAAGCCATAAATCATCAAAGTGTTCCACATCAGGAAATTATACTCGAGACTTTGTATGAAGAATGAATATCTGAAATAATTATTTAAACGCGTGACAGCCTGGCAAACAGCTCATGACTACTTTGGGAAGTACTGCTTACTGAGGGCAACCTCTTTTCCCGCCATTCCAGCAACAGAGGGTTTATTGTCATCATGTCTAGACAGTTGCTTCCTTGAAGAATATTTTCAGCCAGTCAAACACAAAATACATAAATAAATTGTTGTCCTCAAGGAGGTGGCTGGTATGTTTATTAAACCCTCTAGGAAACATAAGTAAGATGCAATTAGAAATATACTGGCAGTAAAAATAAAGGCTGTGATTCAAGGTTGGTGGAATAAAATACCTTCATTTCAATGTGTGAGAGTAACATTTTGTTCGGTGTCTTTAATCACAGAATATCAAAATAAATCAGAGTAGTTTCACTGAAGTCAGTCAGCATCTGTTACAGATGCCAGCGCTTCACGAACGTGCTTTGCTATGCTTTGTTTAATAATTAATCATAAGAAATAATCTTTTAACTACCAAGGAAAAAAAATCCGTCTTGCTATTCGTACTCATGTGGAACAGCACCTTCGCTATTTAAATACCTTCACTGAAGTCAATAACATGCTCAAGCCAGTAAAGTATTTCAACTCAATGAGGCTTCTGAAACAATTAAGGTATTCCTCAAAGCCAAGGAAGGAAGAGAACGGGACCTAGTGAAGTCCCTGACTGTCATCCAAGTGGCCTTTTTGTTTCCGCTGGTTGTCCCTCAGTGGCCCAGGCTCTGAGGCTCCTTTGTTCCTTCCACAGGCTAACCCCTGCTAGCGCTGATGAAAGCTCTGTGAGTGCACACTGTCTCAACAGCTGCTGAAGGAGCTCTTTGCTCTGCATTTATACTTCCAGCTACAGCCTCAGTAGGACTCATCAGTACTGTTTAGAGACTTGTCCTTTTTTCCTTTGTGATCGTACAGTTTTGACTTCATTTTGCATTGCAAGAGGACGGTGTTGGTACACTGCAACAGGCTTCCAGTTCCTTTGGGAACAGGTATAATAGTGCATTTATCAGCAGATGGTTCAAATTTCTTTAACTTTTTAGGTGTCTTTTCATTGCCATTCTTCTTGTAAAATATAGAAGAAATAGCGCAAATGCATTCTTTCAAAATGTAAGGCTACAGCAAGGTAAAGTGGGGACTACAGACAGGGGCAGCACGAGATGAATGAATCAGTTGAATTTCATCTCACTGACTTTCAACTGGTTTAAAACCAAGGTTCTAGTAGGAGTTTTGTCCAGGCTCCCTCTAGTTAATGAGGAAAGTAAGAACTCCAGAAGGCAGTTGATTCAACCTGAGTGTGACACTTTATGGTGCATTTTGCCCCAGGCGGGATGCTGAGTCTCCTGTCCCTTTCCATCTACAGTTATGCCAACTGGGAATGTGCAGCTAGAGGCCTGGTGGAAAGTAAGACCATCCCTTTCTGTGTCTGCCTCCAATTAGATCATGTACAATGTAATATGGAACGGATCCCTGAGGAAGGATGGGAGTGTCCTGCCCAGCAAGTGTCTTTAGGGAAGCCCTAAAGAAAATGTAATTGTTATTTATTCCAGACAAACAACACGAAGAAGAAGATAAAGGCAAGAACCCAGAAGATGATGGCTCTTGTTGCAGAGTTATCCATGCAGCAAGAGTTTGCCCTGAAACTCCAGCAGGAAGTGAGAGACAAGGAACAATTTTTGATGATTGTTTCATCAAGGATAGATCAAGGCCTTCCCCCTCCTGAAGAAACAGAGAATGAGTGCTTGAAGATACTACACAATGAGAAGATGCAAAAAGAAGCAGCTGAAGCCAGAGCTAAAGTAAGTTTTTGCCACACGTTGCAATTAATCTCTTTTCACTGCTCTAGCTTGTCTTTTGGAAAGAGCTGTGCTCACTTGCTGCGTAACTGGTTGCTGCCAAACACAGAGCTCCAGGACTCTGGAGATGATGGCACAGGCAGAGATAACTACTGAAGTGGTACACTGCAGTCCAACAACACCACTTAGAACTGGCCCTTGAATCTTGGGGAGACAGTACACTAAAAGGAAAACTCACCTTCGGTTATTAACGTAATTTGTGAGATCCTGTTGAGGGCTGAAGGGTGCATCCTGTGTTCCACTTGTTTTCAAGGTAAAGCTGCAGAAGGTGGGTGTGGGCTTCAGGAAAAACAAATTTAGTGTCTTCCACACACCAGAGGCAGTGAACATCAGATGAGAAGTAGCAAGAAACCAGACTGCTGGGCAAGGCACTGAGGGGAGGCAGGGCAGTGTAGCAAAGAGTGCTTCAAATTGTACCCTGCTGGGTACTTTCCTCTGTGGTTGAGACCATCAGTGATCCCAAAGAAGAAAAAGCAGTATCAAGGAGAAATGCGCATATAGAGGGAACTCTCGCTGATGGGAAATTAGCTTTGCTGTACGACTCCGTTACTTGATCATTGCAAGGGACCTGAAAGGTGCACAAAGCTGGGAGAGGTACACACTGTGCATACACTTACAAGAACCTGAACTCATACAGAAGTGCTGCAGTAAAATTGGGTTTAGGATAGCAAACTTCTCTGTCATTAACACTTCTCATGCTATGATTTGGTTTCCTTTCAGTGCTGTGGATACAGCAGGTATGTCCGTGTATGCAGGTATGTCAGTGTAAATAAAGCCATTTTGAAAAATAAAAACTATCATCTTGTTCCCAAGATGTTCTGTGACACTTCCTACAAGTTTTAAAAGTTCATCTAATCTGTTTTCTTCACAAATACCAAAAACATTAAAGGCTCAAACTGCTTAGTATTTGAAAGGACAAACACATCTACATAGTCAGTAACTCATGCTTTTCTTCTAATCCCACTCTGGGCATCCTGGTTTGCTAAGGATTAGACAAGGCACTTCCTCTGCAAGGCATCCTGTACACTGGCTGAAGAGAGCACCGCAGTGTGAAGTACATAACCCCTGTTTGTTCCACAGCGCGCTGCAGAAGAGGAACAAGCTGCAGCACCCAGATACATCCGCACGACAGCCGAGCCACTGCCCACTGCCTACACCCCCAGTGACGAGCACAGCTTCCCGCTGTCGCGGCCCTACGGTGCTCTGGCTCCCTTCAAACCAACTGAGCCTGGGGCAAACATGAGGCATTTCAGGAAACCTGTGGTGAAGCCAATCCAAGTCTGAACAGGCAGCACCTGAGACAGCAGAGACATTGCTGGCTGCTGAATCTCAAAGGTCAACAGCATTTACACTACACTGAAAGCATGTCTGTTACCATTCAGCCAAGTTAAATACTGACCACAAAGTAGCTGTTAATGTCACAAGCACCGTGACTCCATGTCTTGGTTTAAACCCTGTCGGCAAGTCAGCCACACAGTCCACTCCCTCACTCTCCCCCGCCTTTCTCCAGCAACAGCCCCCAGCTCCTGAAGGGACAGGGAGGAGAATCAAAAAAAATGTAACTCCCACGGGCTGAGAGAAGAACAATCCGGTAACTAAGGTATAACACAAACCACTGCTGCTGCCACCAATAATGATGATCGTAAGGGAAATAACAAGGGAAGAGAATACAATACCACCTGTCGATACAAAGCCTGACCGAGCAGTGAGCCAGCCCTTCTGGGTAACTCTCAGTTACATGCTGGGCATGACGTGCTGTGGTATGGAATACCTCTTTGGTCAGTTTGGGTCAGGTGTCCTGTCTCTGCTTCCTCCCGGCTTCTCCTCCTCCCTGGCAGAGCATGGGTGTTATCAGCGCTGTTCCCAGCTGAAAGTCAAAAACACAGCGCTGCACCGGCTACTAAGAAGGATAAAAAATGACTGCTACTGCTGAACCCAGGACAGTATCCACCCCTTATTCCATACCATTCATGTCATGCCCAGATCCCACATTTTCAGTATATCATCGCTCTTACATCCACACACACACAGACAGAGAGAGATCATTCCTTAGTGCATGGACCAATCCCTAAAAAGCTGCTGAGTCCATTTGGCCCATGATGCCGGGTTCCATCCCTTGTAACAATTTTTCAGGGCAGGAAAGGCTGTGTGCAGTGTTGGATCGTTGCCTGCTGATGCTGGTTGTTCCTTTACCGCAGAACTCATCTGGTTCTATCAAAGTTCATTCTCTGTTGGTATGGTGGTTGGGGGGAAGTCAGGGCCAGTTGCTGGTGACTTGAATCCATCTAGTTGATGGTCTATAAAAGTATTACATAGCAGGCAACAGCATACAATTGAGTTCATTGGCTGTTCTCCCCTAAAATCAAATCCCCTTGAGGCATACATCGGACTTCCCCATCTTCCCGCATTACCCACCAAATATATCCAGGTCCCTGAGCAAAAGCAATCCCATGAGTGGGTTTGCCTTTACCTGAAGCAGGAATAACCCAGACTTCCTTCCCCAGCAAATTCTTTATGTGCACCACAGGAACTTCAGTGCCAGTGATTTCTGAAGCAGCTCGAATCCCTTCACAGGCTGCCAGTATTTCTTTCTCAGTTGGGGTATAGCTGGCTGCAGATCACATGCAATGTAATATGGAAGGGAGCCCCGAGGGTGATTGTCGGAAGGATGGTTCCAGACTTCCTTCCCTTCTCATTTTTCCCTCCTACCCTCATCCCCAGGTCATACAGCCTCTTTATTTGCCAGATGTGCTGCACATCTGACATCCCTGTCATCCAACTCTGCTGCTAACCCACTAAAATCTATTTACTTTTTTTTTTAATGGCTTAATTTTCTGCCAGGCTATGAAGGTGTCTCTGGTCACAGAGGGCTTTTTACAAGTGCCATAGCCATTGCAAAGGGAAGTGGTGGTAGCATGCAGTTGGCAGCAGGGAGGGAAACAGAAGAACAGAAGACCTTCCTGTATTGGTAGCAGTGAAGTGTTAGATCTGTGTGGCTTATTCAGAGCCTTTGCCAAATGCTTTCCTCTACCTCCCAAGTTGAAAGAAGCAATCATTTTTGCCCAGCATGGCTCTGGTCTGTTGCCCAACTGCTGCTTTTTCCCTTGAGGGGAAAATGGTGGTGATGGAAGGGGCTAGTTTCAGTAGTATCGGCTACCTATCAAGTTTACTGAACCCTTATGTCAACAAAATAAAGATACTTTGCAGAACTGGGAACAAATAACTTATGCTGGGCCTTGGGGAGACTGCTTTTCTTGGAGTTAGTGCTTTGTTAGGCCAGTTTAAGCTTGTGCCAAACTACAGCCTTAGGATGCAGTTAATTGTCCATGGAGGCAAGTGCTTCTCTCAGCTTACAGTAAGAGGAGTCTAGGTATCAGCTCTTGGCTGATGTAAATCAGGGGAATAAATCCCATTCTTAGTATCCTTGGCCTGATTTCCCATTTCCACTAGGATCAATAGAAAACACTAGTTTTTAATACCTTATTTGTATGCAGTAACAACCATTCCTTTGATACAGTGGAACACTTTAAATACATTCAAATTTCTCTCTCAAAATCTGAATAAATATCCCTGGAACATCCTAAAAATATCTTTTATTTATTATATGTGTTGGTTCCAAACAAATGTCACATTAATAAGCAGAGAGGCTCGAGTAGGTGTACATCATTAGTCACGCAGTGGTTTCTTTTTCCAAAATAATTCCAGAATTCAATCCGACCTCTTTTAACAATGAACTATTTATAGGATTCATAAGGGCCTTATCCTCCAACCCTGACTCAGCCAAAACTCACCACTGACCTTGACCTCCTCTAGTCTATTCTTACAGCCTTACTCATGTGGGGAGCTTTCATTCACTGACCTGACTTGGGGAGGGTATTCTCATGAGTATGATTTTGCAGGCTTAGTTCCCAGCACAGTGGGACTTGGTAAATGTCACAGAATCAACTCATATATGCATATATTATTTTTACAATGTAATAAATACAAAACCAAGGGAAAAATATGCAGCTAAGTTCTGCTTCAAGTACCAAAGCAACAAACTGAGTGTAATTACATGTTTACAGCAACAAATGAAATCACTGAGTTCTCTTTATTTTGCAAGAAAATGCATATCGTTTTAGAAGAAAGCAGTCACTAGATTTCTGAATCATAACAATTATTAATAAAGTAGTTGTTTTTTCTCAGCAACATACAGTTGTGTTTAAGTAGAATATTGTTGCAGTATTAGGTGATTACACCAGCACAGTATGACAAGGGTAATTTTTTCCTTCATTTTTTGCATCTCCTTCTGTAACAAATAAAAAACTCTATAATTAGTGTTGATGTCCTTAGTAATTTTCTATTTTTCATGCTTATGTGGGATGATACCTTTTTTGCAAGCTAATATATTGTCATTAGTGAAGATGGGTAACAAAATGTGCCATCTATCAAAAAAACCACTCTTAGTAGTATACTATCTTTCAGTTTGTTTGAAGTCTTCCACTTATAAAAGTTATAAATAGGTATACTTGGTGTGTCTTCTTTCCAAAATGTACTGTGTTACATATCTCTTTCATTTCCCTTCTTATTTTCTCACTTTAAAGTGAAAGAGTGCAACTCTTTAGGTGCTTTTTCTTAAGTTCCCAGTACTTTTTTTGTTACCGTCTGAACCACTTCTTTTTATTACTTGTATTTTATTGTACATGGTGAATGTGTGTTATATACTTGAATCATTAGTATATTATATGGTGGTCCTTTGTACCTCCTGTATTTGATTTTTTCTTTTAAATATAAGCATGCAATTAAAAGGTGCCTTCAGTGAGCTGTCTACTACGATGCCTAGGCCATTTTCTTGAGTAGTTATGGTAAAGGTGGAATTCATTATGCTTATGAGTAATTCAAAGAGTTCCTTCCAATCAGCACTGTGATGCATTTATTAGCATTTGACTTTATCGGACTGTACTGCCAGTTAGCCTAGTTTCACCAGCCCTTGCAGTTTTTTATATTCTTTTATAGTTCCAGATACTGAAAAAAATTGGTAACCTGCAAATGTTGCCAATGTACAACATACTTATTCTTCCAGGTATTCTAAAGTATAGATAGATACTTCCCAAAGCCAAGTGGCAGCGTTTCATTCTACAGTAGTTGTCTTCCTGTAAAAACTTAGTGAGATGTACTTGATCGTCATGATAGCACAACTTCTTTGAGGTTTGCTTGGAGATCATGTAGACATACAGACGTACAGGACATACAGAGTTTAGCATCCTTCCCCTCTTGTTTCTTTTCCCAGCTTCTTCACACCATGAGTGTAATTGCCACAACTCACTGTTTTTTATGTTGGAGGCACATGCATCTTTCCTTGCTTCTGAAGACCAACAAACAGCAGGGTCACAGGCAGAAAAGAGCTGTCCTTTTATCAGACATGTTGGAAGCTGAGGCTCTGCTTTTCTTCCTCTCCCAAGATCAGGCCAAGGCCATTGTGGAAAGCAGATCATGTCTGCCCTAACTATTCTATTATTGGCATCAGAGGAGACAGTTCTGTTACTGGACCCCAGGACAATTCTTACCAGCTAGGCCAATACTTAGGAGCAGCATCTACAACAGGACTTGCTTGGTTATTGATTGTATGAAACTCCACATGGATAAGAATTGTAAGAAACTCCACTTCTCTTAGACCTGAGTTCAGCACTTCTATCCATTCCAGCTCCTTCATGTAGTCGTAATGTTTAATGACCATTGACCCACATGTCTGACCAGCAGCAGTTTTCATACCTTGTCATTTTTTCCTTCCTACATCTCCAGCCTGCCTCCATTCCCTCCAAAACACAGCTGCCATAGATGTCTGTGCAAAGTTCCCTACAAGCACAACTAGCAGCCTCCTATTTCATCTTTTCCTCTGTGCACTCCTCCCATTTACCCCCAGTCAGCAAACACAAGCATTCAAATCATCATATCTGACATGCTTAAGCTGCCCAGCTGTCCTGGTGTCTAACCAAAAGACTTCTTTCTCTCATTTTGTGCTAACGGCTCCTCATTCCACTACAAATGCCACCAGTCCTAAACTGAGGAATGCTGCAGCTGGGCTTGATTCTACCTCTTCCCACAGCACTACTCTATTTATTTTTTTTTGCCATGGGAGGAGTACAGAAATTGAAAATGTATTTAAAAATGCATATGGATCACACTGTTGTACCTTCAGAAATGGTCAATTCCAAATGCTTCTGAGACAGATTGCAAGAAGCCCTGCGGCTGTCAACTAAAGATATTATGCACCAGTCTTGGACATTAAGTTTAATTCCAATCTCTAATAGTCAGAGACTGATTTATGCCTCAAAGTCTGACATTTATATTCCAGGATATTCAGATTAATTTTAATTCTGCATATTCTTGAAATCCATAGAAATGTTTAATTCCTTTTTAACTTCTAGATTGAATGACCTTTTTTATCCACAA